AGACAGATAATAAATAAGATAAAGAAATAAAACAAAACACTAGTCAGGGGCAGATCAGGGCGGCGGGTGAAATCAAAGCAGAGAAGAGGCACAGTGGGGGGTTAATATTATAAATGGAACAAGTGGTCAGGAGACCCCCACCGCCGTGACATTTGAAAAAGATGTGAAAAGAGGGAAGGCAGGAGGCACGTGCTATCTGGGGAAGAACATTCCAGGTAGAAAGGAACAGCCTGTGCAAAGGCTCCGGGGCAGGAGCCTGTCCAATGTGTTTGAGGATCAGCAAGGAGGTCAGGTGGCCAGAGGGAGCCAGCGCAGGGGGAGTCCTGGGAGGGGAGGCCAGTGGGACTTGACGTTTCTGACACGACCGACGCTGACGTCTGTCTCTATCTCCAGGATGTCAGGCTGGGCTTGTCCCGGTGTCTCCAGCCTGGAGAACAGCATCTGGCATGGGCAGAACCACAGCAAGAATGGGTCCTATGAGCGGATCAAAGAGTGCAGGCCCGAGTATCGGGGTGTCCCTGTGCAAGAAAGCTTTGCAGAAGGTAAACGCCTGACACATTCAACAGAATTAAAAGCAAGAACTTGTGGGGCCGCTGGGTGGCTCAGGCTTGGGGCGTGATCCTGGAGTCCCAGGATCGAGTCCCACATTGGGCTCCCCGCATGGAGCCTGCTTCTCCCTCTGCCTGTGTCTCTGCCTCTCTGTGTCTCTCATGAATAAATAAATAACATCCTAAAAAAAAAAACCCCAAAAAAGTAAGAACTTGTGTTCATCGGAGGACCATTTAAAGGGCGGGAAGCAAGCAGCCCCTGGGAGCTGATTCGCACACATGCAAGCGACAAGGACCTGGCCCAAGATCACCCACAAGCCAGGAGGATGACCTGGCGGGAAGACACGTACAGAACTTACGAAAGAGGAGCCCTCCATGAGCAGTAATCCAGGGCCGAGCGATGAGCGCCACCCCAAGAAATAGCACCACGGCCACCCCCTGACAACGCCAAGTGCCAGGACGCTGTGGGGAGACACGGGGCCTCCCAGGGCCCCAGTCTGACTGGGAGAAGCACCCTCCAGAGTGTGGCCTCCCCTCCTTCCCGACCACGGGCCCTCCTGCTCCGGGGCGTACCCCCCGCGAGGCGGCACGTGGTCCCCAGAACACCTGCACGGGGGTGGGGGGTGTCTGGCAGCACGCGTGCCAGAGGCCCAGGAGGGAGACACCCCGACTCCCCCAATAGCAAATAAACGGGCGGCAGTAACGTCACTCACACGTGCAGCTCCCCGAGAGCGCCAGCTGTGGACCGCCCCCCCCAAACACGCACACACGACGTTTCTGATGAAAAGAGGCCGGCCTGCAAAGCACAGGCTGGAAGTTTCCACGTATGTGAGGTTCCAGGCCAGGCAAAAGAAGACTCAGTTAGGGGTGCCCTTAGGTGGCCCAATCCGCTTGGCAGGACCCGACCTGGAGGCCTCTGGGGAGCTGGAGGGAGCCGTGACTGGGGGGTCCCGGGGCGCCCCTGGAGGGCCAGCGGCAGCCCTGGTCTTCTCGACCTGGGTGCCCTGGGTGCCCTGGGTGCCGGCTCTTCCTGAACTCCATCTCTCACCCGCACGGATATTTATTACCTTTTGTGTATGCTCATCACAGTTCACAACTTTGAAAAATTCTAGTTGGGGGGAGGGAGGGGTGGCCGCATGGCGGGAAGAGCTCTGGTTTCCTGGGCACCTTCTCTGTCCCTGCGGCGGCTGACCCACTTTCCTACACGACAGAGGGGACGGGAGCCCGCGCGGAGGAGAGGGCTTGCCCAAAGGCCTGCGGCACACAAAGTGGCCACAGCGGGAGCCAAGGCAGAGGGGACCCCGTGCGAGGGAAGCAGAGGAGCGGATTAATGTGAGGATTAGGGCCGCAGCTCCGAGGCGGGACTCGGGACTCGTGGACGTCCTGGATACCCCCGAGTGTCACAGGAACATCTGCTCAGGCTGTCAGAGGCGGGGGGGGGGGGGGGGGGGGGGTGCCGGCTGAGCGAGGGCAGGGGTACGCGGGACGCCAGATGACAGGTGGCCAGAGCCGCGGGGAGCAGTACCAGGGGCCCAGGGCTGCAAAAATCCTGGGGTTGCACCCAGGCTCTGCTGGGAGGGGCTCCCCTCTGGGGCCCTCCTGGGACCCGCATGCCCCACCCCTCACCCATTTCCTAGAACGCACCCCTGCTTCCTCAGGCCTCCTTGGCCTTTATACCCCTTGGAAGGTCACTCTGGTCTGTCCTCCTTGCAAAATCCTATTCATTCTTCAAGCCTTGGTTCAAGTCCCCCCCAGCCCCCCCGCAACTTCCAGGAAGCCCTCCCTGAAATCCCAACCCAGAGTCCCCGGCCTGGGATCCCTGGGAGGATCTACTGATGGGCCCGCGTCCCTGCCTGCTCTGGGGGTTCGCCTGGGTCTTACTGGGTCTCTGTGTCCGAGGCAGGTGTTGGCAGCCAGAAGGGGAACGGTTCCACTGGGGCAGGGGGGAGCAAGGGGCAAGAGAGTACAAACGCCACGGAGGAAAGGTGTCTGGGAGAACAAAGAGTCTGTCGCATGGACAAGAAGGCAGGTGGAAGGGCTTCTAGGCAGGGGCACGGCAGGGGCACAGGCAAAGGCAGAAAGGCTCGACAGCTTATTTGGGACTGGGAAGGGGGACTTCAGTATGGGGTGGGTGGTGAGCAGAGGGAGTCAGCTGAGGGGCCAGGACAAGGGGGGCCCAGTGTATACCCGCTGCAAAGGGAGCCACAAAGGGGGGGGGGTCCAGGTGACGTGGTCATTTGCTCACTCATCACATATTCCTTGGACCCTCCCACGGGCCAGGCTTGGTTCCAGGCACCACAGTGCGGGTGGGATGGCAAGTACCCGGTGGGGCAAAGGGCCTGCCCTGCGGGGATCAGTTCAGATCCCCAGCCCGGCCTGCAATATACAGAAACTGCATTCCAGTGGCAGGAGGCAGGGCCCGGGCACAGGGTCATTCCTCTGGACACCCCCAAACCCCTCCAGTTGGATCACAAATGCATCTTCTCCTGCCTGGGGAACCCACCACAGTGTGGTTCAGATGCCCCACAGCGAACCCCCACCTGGGCCCCTGCTATGGGCCAGGTCTCAGGTGAGGCACATCATCCTCCCAAACAGCCCTGCAAAGTGGAGGTGACTGGGACATCTGCTTCACAGATGAGGAAACTGAGGCCAGAGACTGGATCTGTGCGACCCCAAGCACCATGACCTACCCCAGCTGACCAACTTCCCCTACATTCCTCTGGGCCTCTTGGTCCTAGACCCCTGGCATTACATTTGTAGGATGGAACCCTACAGGGGCAGCCCCCGCACTGGCTGGGAAGGAAGGGTCTGGAAAGACCCCTGAAGCAGCTCTGAGGTGAGAAGAAGACACCAGGGGACCCTCCCCAGTTCTGGGATGCTATGCTGTGTCCTGGCCCCATGGGACCCCCGTTCCCACCAGTTTCAAAATGTTGCCTCAAGCTGAAAGCCCAAGTGGCCCAAAGCAGCCCAGAAGCCTAGGCCCTGGCTACTGCCGACAGCCTTTGGGACTCGACGCAGGGAAGCCCTCAGCCCATTTGGCAAAACCACGCCTGGTCCCCTTAGCATCTCAGGCAGTGGACCTGCCCAGGTGGCTCACCTGCCCACCTGTGTCCTCTGTGTCCCCACTGCCCAGCACACAGGGGTGGGTGCTCAAGAGCCTTGGCTGGGCATGGAGAGCTAGACAAAGAGAAAGAGAACCACCGACGGACCCCTCCCCCACCAAGCTGGTCTTGGGGTGCCCTCTGGATGCTACCTTTTCCTGCAAGCACCAGCTGAGTTAAGTAGTGTCCCCTTCTTCATGGGACCCATCCCAGGTGGGGATACTGGTGAGATGACAGCCAACATGGGGTCCTGAGGAGGGCCGGGGCCTGAGGTCAGAGGCCTATGCTCGTCTGCATGGCCACAGCCAGGGCTGTCGCTCCTGGGGCCTCCCTGGCCCCACCTGGACCTTGACGGTGACTAGCCGGCCTGACTGAACATCAGATTTTGCATCTGAGCTCCTCTGATCCGAGAGATTGGCCCCCTCCCCCCAGGCCAGGACAACTGTGTCCTTGCCCGCGGGACCCACAAGGCAGGGCTGCACTCCAGCTCAGTGGCCAGGAGATGGCCCTGCTCTGAACACCCAGTGAGCCGCCTCTGCCTCTGCCAGCCCACCTGTCCCGGGCTCCCACCTGGGCCTTCCGCACGGAGCCACCGCCCGGAGGGTCCGGGCCTGCTGGGAGGGCCCCGGGGCTCCGTCCCCGAGCCAGTGGGGCATGTCCCAGAACGAGCCTGGGCTCTGCTGGCTCCCAGCCTCAGGGGATGTGAGCGCCGCGGCCCAGCGCCAGGCCGGGGAGGAGGGGTCAGGGGGTCCCCTGGCCCTCGGCGGGCGCTGAAGCCTGGAGCCGGCCGCTGCCCACACGACCTGGCTCAGACTCGGGACGGAAGACACCCGAGGGCTGCGCCCGCCCGGCGTGGGTCAGGGCGGGGGACGTCGACGGGGAAGCCGTGCTATGCCCATCGGCTGAGCCCCGGCCGCCTCCCGGGAAGCCCGGGGGAGTCCACGGAGGCTGAAGTTTCGCACCGGGCGGGAGGCCGCAGGGGACACTCCCCAGACTCGCGGGATTCCCCCAAAATGGCTCCAGGACGCGCCGCCTCGGCCACCGCGAGGCCTCCATCCCCCACCCCCGCCCCCACCAGGCGGAAACTTAAAAGCTCAGACCCAGGAACTGTCGGCTGGGGGCGGGGCGGGGGGGGGGGGCGGCGCGGGGACCCGGCGCGAGCAGGGGCGCGGAAGCCCGGAGGGTCGCGGGGTTCCCGGGGGGGCACGGGAGGGGGCACGGAGGGGGCACGGAGGGGGGGCCCGCGGCCCCGGCCCGTGCCGAGGAGCCCCCGCGCGGGGCTCCCCATTGTCTCGCGGCGCGCGCACCCGCGCCCCCCGCCCCGCCCCGCCCCGGGAGCCGCCGCACTCACCTGAGTTTCTCCATGTCTGCGGCAGAGGCCTGCGAGAAACCAAAGAGAGGGTCAGCAGGCAGGAGGCGTGCGGGCACGGCGGGCACGGGCGGGCGGCGGGGGCACCGCGCTTCGGGGGGCGGCCGGCCCGGCTCCTGCCCCCCCCCCGGGCTCCTGCGCACCCCCCCGGCTCCTGCCCCCCCCGGCTCTTGCCCCCGGCTCCTGCCCCCCCCCCGGGCTCCTGCGCCCCGGCTCCTGCCCCCCCCCCGGCTCCTGCCCCCCGGCTCCTGCGCCCCGGCCGCCCGCCCGACACTCCGGGGGCGCGCGGGGCCGCGGCCGAGTAACAGGTGAGCCCGCCCGGCCGCCGCGCGCCCCGGCCCCGAGTTACGCCCCCCGGGGGGCGGCGGGGGGAGGAGGCGCCGGCCCGGGGCGATCCCGGGCTCGCCCGAGGCAGGGGGGCCCGGCCCGGCCCCCGTTAACCCTCCCGCGGCCGCGGCCCCGCCCGTTAACCCCTCCGGCCCCGCGCTCCCTCCCGGAGGACGCCGAGCCCGGAATCGCAGAAACCTCCGGGTCGGAGGATGTTCGAATCCGGGAATCGGGAGCCACGCGGGACCGCAGGACCCGGCACTCACGCGATCCTGGGGGGGCGGCATTTGGGACCGCGGACTCCTGGGGCGGGGACCCCTCCGCCGCGGGATTCCGGGGCTCCGGGCCTGGCTCGCCCCTCCCGGGCCCGAGGGATTAACCCCCGCGCGCCCGGCCCGCCGGCGGGGCTCCCTGCCGGGCTTGCGCAGAGCCGCCCGCGCGCCCGGGAGACCCTCCCTGCCCAGCCCCGCTCGGCCGGGCACCCCTGGGCGCCGGCCCGGCCCCACCCGCGCCCGTTAACCCTGCGGGCGCCGGCGGGCGGCACCGCACTTCCTGCGCGGGCGCGGGGCGGGGCGGGGGGCGCGGGCGCGGGCGCGGGGCGGGCTCCCGGGGGCCGTCCCCCGCTGTCCCCGGGCCGTGACGGGCCCTAGAGGGGCGCGGGGGTCCGAGCGCAGGGACCCCGCACACACCTGGGAAGACTGATGACTGCCCATCCCGGCCCCTCGCCACGGGCGCCGCCGCCGCGTCCGCCGGGAGCGCGCTCCGCTCCGGTCCGGGCCCCACGCCGCCTCCCCCACCGCCCCGCCGGGCGAGGGCGCAGCCCGGGCAGCGGCGCCGAGCAGGAGGCCGGGCCCGGGGCCTCGGCCGGGCTGGGCCGCCACGTCCGCGGGCGCTGGGGCAGGCCCTCCCGGGACCCCGCGGGCCTGCGTGCTCACCTGCGAGCCGGGCCCGGGGGCAGGGGGAGGCGGCCGGGGCGCTCGGCTGCCCTTCAGCGCGGCGGGCTGCGGCCGGCGGAGGGGGAGGAATTTGCAGGAAAGGATCCGCGGGGGGCGCGGACTGGCCCGGCGCACGGCGCACCGCGCACTCAAAGTTGCCGGAGACCACGCGCCCAGACCCCTGCAAATAGCCTCCTCCCCCAGGACAGAGGATTGGCTGCCCCCCCCCCGTGCCTCCCCAGCCCCTGCCTCCCCCAGGCCCACCTTCCCCGGGGCCCCATGACCGCCCCGGCACGCTAGATCCCGGCATACAGCAGGCGCTCAATAAACACGGGCACTGCGCGCCGCACCCCGCGCCACTCCCGCGTGCCTCTTCTGCCTCTTCCCTCTCTCTCTGGCCGTGAGCTCCAGGCAGGCGCCCTGTCCCTTCACCGGGGCACCCCCAGCACCCAGCAGGCCTGGCCTCCACGGGGCCGGCGCGGGGTGGGAGGAGCCGGGCCTCCTCGGGGTCAGCCCCACCCGGGCTCACACCCAACCCAAAAACTCCGAGTGTTCCTTCAGCCACCAGCGCTTTCTCACCGGTTCATTAGGTCTGGGCTAAGTTCTTGCTGGTGGCAGGGGGCGGCCAATGAGGTGAGCCCTGCCCTCTGGGGGCTGGTGGTTGAGAAGGGAAACCCCTCCCCCTGTCCTGGGAGGCCCCCCTCCGCGGAATGGCCAGGATGGAGGCTTGCACACGCGCCCTACACATCCGTGCCCTCCCCCCCTCTTGCAGGGAGGCAGGCTCTCCCATTTGACAGAGAGGAAAGCAAAGGCCAGAGATGGCCTGGAAGCCAGCCCTCAGAGAGAGGCCCTTCTCCCCCCAAAGGCTAGGGGTACCCCCTCAGATGTCTCCAGTTGTCTCAATCGCTCACAGTGAATGACCTGCCAGGGAGTTTGCCTGAAATTAATAAGAATGTATTAAAATTTAATTTTAAAAATCTAGCATTAATTATTTATGTTGAATGTTTCAGCTCTTCTAAAAGGTCTGTCTGGGAATTCCTGCCCCAAGAAGGAGTGTTAGGAGAGGCTGCTGAGTTGCCTTGGCACCAGGGGGCAGGGCAGGAAGGCTGGTGAGGAAAGAGGCGGGGGCGGGGGGGGGTGGTGGCTCGCCCTGGCACCTTGGAGCGCCTTCCTTCACTCCGCTATCCCAGACCCTGAAGCCTGGCTCTGACCGTTCCGCGATGTCTCAAAATCTCCCCAGACCCGGTGCCTGTGCCCTCGCCCTTAAAGGTCGCCTCCACCAGGCAGCCCTCCGCGGAGACCCAGTGGAGTTGTTGGGTCTGGGTCTCCATTCCAGATGCCCACTCCCTGGGGCAGGGCCCTTCCCAGGGGCTAGCCTGGCACCTCCCTCGGGGTTGGGAGCTTGCGCGAAGCTCTGGATGCACATGCGATGGGCAGTCACAGGTGTACGTGGCTGGGGAGCAGGGCGGGCAGTGAGACCAGCCCCGTGGGGAGGTGCTATGCCTTTGGCAATGGTCTTGGTATTGGGGCCAGAGCCCCGCGTTCAAGTCGCGACTCTGCAATTCGTAACCACAGGATTTGGGGCTATTCCTGAGATGCCCCTATTACGGATGAGAAAAATGAGACCAAAGCATGAAACGGGCGTGTTCAAAGTCACCTAGAGTAAGCCAAGGCCCGCCTGCTGGGCTGGGTAGAGCAGAACGCGGGGACTGCCTGGGTCTCGGGCCAGAGGTGGTGGCTCCATTACAGAGGAGGGCAGGGATGGTTGGGGACTGTGAGTATGAGGGACCCGTGGAATGTCCAGCATCTGCAGGGGGAAGTGATGGGACAGGAAATACCCGCAGGGACCCTCCGGCCCCTCCAGGGCCCTGCAGGCAAGCGGGATCCCAGTGCTCTTCTCCGGGCACTCCCTCCCTCATGCGTGGCCCCATGCCTCTTCCTGCCGCACACTGTGACCTTGTCCCCTCCTGGGGGTCCGGCCCAGCAGCCACCTTTATTTCCCTAAAACATCCCATGAGCCCTGCTTGTAGGCCACACGCACTTGCCTCAGCCCAACTGCTCTCTGTCTTTGCCCGTGCTGGTCCACAACACCGCTCCTCCTCGGGATGCCACCTTCCCAGTGGCCCCTGGGCACAGTGACTGGCACACAGTAGGCACTCCCAAGAGGCGACGAAGGGAGGCAAGTCTGCCTAACCTTCTGACCTCACCTCCGACCTGCCCCTTACTTGGCCCACATCAGCCACTCCGGCCACCTTGCTGGTCCCAAGCTCACCCAACTGGCTCCGGCCTGAGGGCCTTTGCACTCCTTCCCTCCACCTGAGAGGCTCCGGCCCAGATCTTGCAGGACCAGTACTTTCCTTCTCTGAGGACCCAACTGAAGCAGCCCTCTTTGGACTCCTCCTCCTTGGTCATTTGCCTGCCCGCCTTGCCCCTGTCCTATAAATGAGACATTCTCATTTATAGTCTCTGCCACTGTGTCTCTAACCCCAGGGCCTGGCATGGAGGGCCTCCAGCGGCAGGTGGTGACACCCGAACCACTGCAGTCGCTCTTAATGCCCAAAGGCACCTGCTCCGCACCCTGAGCACCCTCCTGCCCTCGGGGCTCCTATCCCTCACTCACCACCCCGTGCCTCTCCCTAAGGCCCACCCCCAAGTGGGTGGCACCTGACCCCAAGGGCACATCTGCACAGAGTCCTGCCGAGGGAGCCCCTGTGAGGACGTGGGTCTCTGCTCCACACCTCCCTCCCACCAGCCAGGGCGTGACTCCTCCACTGGACCATCTGGCTGCCCATGCCCCCTCCAAATTATTCTGTTTCGGAAATACAGAGAGAAGGAAAGTGAGTCCCGTCCAGGGACGGGCCTGTTCAGTGCTGAAAGCCAGGTCTGGGACCCAGGGAGCCTGGGTTCTGGTCCCAGCTCTGCCTCTGACGCACCGTGTGACCCTGGGCCAGTCCCTGCCCTCCCTTGGGGCTGGGGGCTGGGCTCCCAGGCGCTGACCCCAGTGCTCCACCTCGGTGTCTCTGTAAATCCAGTTGCAGCTCTGGCTTCCTCAGTTTCCCCCTTATCTTGCTACCCGACTTCTGCCCCCAGGGGAGGAAACAAGCTGAACAAGGTGGAGGGGGCACAGGGGGATAGTATTCCTGGTGCGGCTACCACAGGGGTCATCCACCTCCCACTGATGAAGACTCGGGCCTCCTACAGCTGTGCGACCTCTGGCAAGGCTCTCAACCTCTCTGAGCTCAATCCCTCAACTAGGGCACATGGAAAATTTTCAAAGGACATTGTGAGTGACAAGGTAGCCATGTGTAAGGGACTGTCTCGGGGATAGGGCTCCTCTGGAGAGCCAGCCTTTGAATTTAATCATCCGGGCTGGACAGCCTTCTAAGATGCTCTACATGCCTTCTTGCATTCACTCAACAAACACTGACGGTGAGCCCTGTTCTAGGGGACTCGGCAGAGAACAATCCAGAGGAAGTTCTGTGGCCTCACGGTGCTGACCTTGTCCATGGGATGCAGATTACAGGGGATGTCAGCACAGCCCCTGCAGCCCCGTCTGCTGAGAAGGAGGGAAGGCTGGGGCTGTCCACTGGGGGGAGGTCAGGATGACACCGAGCAGAGACTGGGGAGCTGGCGGGAGCAGCAGCTCTGGGCATGGGGGGCCCGGGGAGTCTGGGAGCATCTGGTCCTAAGTGGGGAGCAGGGAGGTGTCTCACGGGCCAGGGGACAGGTGCCCCGATAGCTGCCGAGGCGGCTGGAAGGGTCCAGAGGTGACAGACGTTGCGGTAGGACGTCACCAAGGGGGCGGGCGCACAGGTCCAGGGGCTGTGCCTCTGGGAGTGGCGGGGTACACGCAGCACTACAAGTCCCAGCAGTGGAGGAGTAGGGCTGGGGGGCAGGGTGCTCTTCAAGTCAGGGTTCAGGGAGGGCTGGAGCCAGCCGAGGCCCCCAGAGAAGGGGGCGGAGGGAGGTAGGAGAGGGGGGTCACCCGCAAAGGGGGCAGGGCAGGCCCTCGCAGACCATGTGGCGGGTAAGAAGCTGGCTTCAGGTCCCTCAGCAAGTCGGGGACCTGAACTCAAGCCCCGGCTGGGTGCTGCTGTCCCCAGATGGGGCCGGGAGTGTCCTCCTCCCTGGGATTCCAGAGGATTCCAGAGGACCAGGGAGGCCGCGGGGTGCCGCGTCCCACTCCCCACCCCTGCCTCATGGCTCCGCGAGTAGCCTCAGGCAGGGCCTCGGGTTCCCAGCCGAGTGCGGCTGCAAGCTGGCCTCCAGAGCTAAATCTGGCTTACCAGCATGTTGTATTTGGCCTGCAAGAGGTTTAAAAAAATTTTTTAAAAACATTTGAGCCAACATTTAAAAATTGGGAGAGTTTACATTTTAAATTCCGTATTTTTGGCTTCTACTGAAAATTTGCAAGATCTGGCAACTCCGGCCCACATTCCCACGTGGCAACAGTTGGGGAGCTGGGAAGCAGCTGCCCCCCCCCCAGAGGCACCTCGCAGGGGGGCTCCCACTGGGGAGAGGCTCCGTCCACACCTACCTCACCGACAGCTTAGCTAGACAATGGGGAGTGTGAGGCCTGAGGGCGGGTGACTTGCCAGGTCACTCAGTGGGACAGCCCCAGGGGCAGGAGCTGGGGACACCTGGGCCTGGCATCAGGGGGCTTGTCACAGCCACGCCTGGGCTACTTCAGAGCCCCCGGCCTGCCTCTCCTTCCCTGACCCTGGCCCCGTACCTCCTGCTCTCCCCTGACCTCAGGAATTGGCTGGCTGAAGTCATTCGTGCTGTCATTCAGGCCCGTGGGTAGCAGAGCTGGAGGGCTCGGAGGCCTTCCCCAGGGGCTTCGTTTGCTAGACAACGAAGGGGAGGACCAGGGCCATCCACGGCCACGCAGCCAGATGGGACAGAGGGGGACAGAGGCCGGACTAAAACCCAGGGCCCTCCCCTGGTTGTGGCTCCCTCCCAGAGCTGTTCGTGGTGAAACTCCAGGCATCATCCTCAAAAAAGGGCTTTTCAAAAAAGGATGGAGGCCAGGGGTCGGCCCTGCTACCCTAAAGCTCCAGCCCCACCCTGGGAATAGCTCTGGGGACACAGGCCCGTCAGGGCTGGGAGGGCAGGGGATACACAGCAGAGGGACCGGCGTCACGACCTCCATCACCATCC